CACGGCTTCTACGACACGCTCCTCAGCAGCTCCTCCAACTGCTTGACAACCAGCGACGGAGAAAGGGCTCATGGACATACATGCTTTTCCAGGACTTCGACTTCCTGCGTACATACCTGGACGACCAGCGCTGGCCCACGACCAGCAAGCTCGACCCCGACGTTTTTGCATGGGCTCGCACCACGCCGAAGCACTTCACCAACTCCGTCAACCTGGCCGTCACAAACTACATCCGCGCCTCCAAAGACCACGCCCACGCCGACAAGCTGACCAAGGTGTTCAGACCCGACGGCCCCATTGGTGCGGGCACCACGCCATCACGCGACAACGGCGCCAGCAACTTCATCTGCTACGAGTGTGGAATCGTAACCAAGACCAAGCAGGGCATGGCAATACATATCGGACGTGAACACCGACGACCTGATCATCCGCGAAACTGGGCATCGGGTACATCGTGCAGAATATGCCGCCAGAACTTCCACTCCTTCGCCAAGCTAGTGAAGCATCTAACCACGGTCGCCCGCTGCCGACGGTCATGGCACATGTGGTACTTACAAGGACCTGCCCTCACGGAGGAGGACGTGGCCACCAATCAGGCGATCTACGCGGCCAGCATAGTCGACAACAAACGCAGAGGCCGCCCTGAACTATACCACCCTATCCCTGCCCATGCATCCGACGTCACTCCCTTACCCGCCCTTGACCTATCACCTTCACCACCGCCATTCTTCCCGACTGTACCAGCGCTTACACCACCACCACCAGCCCACTACCCTCGGACACCGACCAGAAACAGATCTCTGCTTTACCTCACCAACACCGATAGACACCCGAACGATCTGCTCGACATCACGGACCAACGACTATGCTACAATGGAATGGCGATGGAACGGGTTACTATGACCTTCGATGATATCTACTCTGTCGATCACCCATCCCAGTACGACGCCCTCGACTCGATCCACCAGCACATTCGACAAGGCGACTTCGCGGGAGTGATGATCAACCTCTCACCCAGCACTTGGATCGACCAAGTCGATGGCGACCCGCACGACAGAAAGGCAGCATCTTCCAGAACAACCACGGACCCTTGGGGCAGAGTAAACCTTGGAGGTGAGGCAGCCGAACGTCGACTGATCGCGAACCACCACGCCCGCCTCGCCATCCACACCTTCCATGCTGCCCACGCTGCCGAAGTACCAGCACTACTAGCGCAATCTGCAGCCCCAGCAGGTCCGTCAGTGATGTGGAATACTGAGCTGATGTTCTACGCTACGGAGAATCTCGCTATGAGACGACCTACCATGGTAGACGACACCAGCAGCCTCTACGCCATCTACTACGGCCTCTCCCAGGAATACGGCAATCCCCTCGACGATTTCGTAACCTCCATTTTGGGCAGTCTGCCCCAGCATGAGGTCGGACGGCAGCCTGCTGATCCGACGACCCGAGCTGGCCGTAACATGGCCCATGACGGTCGAGACAGACGCCCACCACGGCAAGATGGCCGTAGCGCTCAAGGTGGCCGCCAACCCCATCCTGGACGCCCCCTCGAGGGCGAGGGGGGGGAGGACACGGTTAAGGCCTGACCGACCTGCCGCCGCCAGCGTGCAGGCCGTCATGGGGGTGGTTTCCCTTCCTCATCAGGCCTTTAATGAGCCCCCTCCTCCCGCTCCATCTTGCCACCCCCATGCGGCCTCTCCCTCATCCTCCATCATGTCATCCTCTTTCTTCGTCCCCGAAACTCCTGGGCCCTTTTTTCTCGGTCCTTTTCGGCCCCCGCCCCTCCCCTTTCGAAGCCAAGGCGGCTTCAACTTTGCCCTCCTGGCGGGCTGTCTTGGCCTCCGGGAGCCCCTCCGAAGGAGGAGCAGATCCGCTGCACTTAAGGGCCCCTTAAGTGCAGCGGGCTGTCTTGGCCTCCGGCATAGGGTTCAACTTTGCCCCCCACGCGCCTAGGGCGCGCGCGCGTAGCTCCGGCCGCGCGGACGGCTGCGTCCGACTGGACATCGAGCCGATAGCGATAGCGATAGCGATAGGAGCAGGAATGGCGCCGACGAGGACGGCGCCGACGACGACGACGACGACTTCGACGACGACGACGACGACGACGACGACGACGGCGATGACGACGACGACGACGACGACGACGACGACGACGACGACGACGACGACGACGACGACGACGACTGCGCCGACGACGACGACGACGACGACGACGACGACGACGACGACGACGACGACGACGACGACGACGACGACGACGACGACGACGACGACTGCGCCGACGACGGCGCCGACGACGGCGACGAGGATAGCGACGGCGGCGGCTGGGTCGACTCCAGCGACGAGGAGGCGTCGTCGGCGGCTGCGGCGGCGTCGTCGTCGTCGGCAGCGCCGGCGCCGGCTCCGGCGCGAGATCCCCCCTTCGGGCGCGGGCGACCCGTGCCCCGGCGGTGGCGGCCATGGCACGTCCGCCGGCGGGCCGGGCGATGGGGGCCCCGCGCCCGGCGTGGAGGACCGAGCGACTGGGTGCGGGTCGGTAGGACTCTCGGGCTGGGCGAAAGGGGGGGGATTGGGAAAGGGGGGGTACGAAATTTGCTGCATGCAGCTGGTTTCGGCCTCACCGAGGGGCCCATTCCTCGATACATGGCCGCCTCCGGCGCCGGGAGGCGCCGGGAAAATCAGCTACATGAGCTGATTCTCAAAACTCCCCTTTGCTATCCCCCCCTTTCGCACGACCCGAGACTCGGGGTGACGGGGGAGGCGGAGGAGGAGGCGGCGGAGGACGAGGAGGCGGACGCCCGCAACGTTCCTTGTTCATCGGTCCCTGCAAGAGTTGGTTATCATCGCGTCAAATACTGGCCCTGACACGTGACTTCAGCGTGGAGTGGAGTGGACTTCAGCGCAAGATCCCTGCAAGAGTGAACTTCGGCCTTCATCGATCCCTGCAAGAGTGGACTTCAGCGCCGCGAATCCACGTGACTGACGCGGCCTGACACTTAAGAGTCGTGGCAGAAAACCAATCGTGGACTCCAACAAAGCGAATCAACGTGCCTGCAGCGTCCTGATATGATAGTCCTAAATCGTGCCAGGGCACCATTCCTGGGCTTCGAGCGCCGCGAGTCCACATGCCTGTTGCGTCTTGACAATTGTAAAGTCGTGCCAGAACACTAATCTGGGGACTCCAACAGCGAATCAACGTGCCTGTTGCGTCCTCCTCCTCCTCCTCCTCCTCCTCCTCCTCCTCCTCCTCCTCCTCCTCCTCCTCCTCCTCCTCCTCCCTCCTCCTCTCCTCCTCCTCCTCCTCCTCCTCCTCCTCCTCCTCCTCCTCCTCCGCATCGCTGGGCCTCGACGGACGAGCACACCGAGCGCACACCGGCGCAGCCTCACGCCTTGAGGGTCAGCGATCGGAGCTGCGGAGGCAGGGGGCCGGACCCAGCTCTGCGCGAGCGGAAGCCCGGCGTGGAGGATCTCGAAGACGAACAAGATCAGTTTTCGGAGACCTCTGCAGGCGGTGGATATGGACATATTCGGGCTCCCGGGGGCCAACGTATGTCCATATCCACCGCCCGCCGGGGCACCAGGACGTGGGCTCCCAGGCGGTGGGTATGGATAAATCCCCGCCTCGCAAACATGGCAGAAGCATGCACTTTCGGAGGTCTGCGTGGATTTCTTGGATCGGCGGTGGACGCCCATCCTGGCGCGCGGAGCGCGCCAGAGGCGCCGCCAGACGCGCCGCCAGGGGGGTCCAGCGCCGATCCAAGAAGTCCGCGCGGACCTCGGACAGTTCGGGTGTATGCACTTGCCTTATCCTCCGCCTATACATCTTCTCCTTCTTACGAGCATTATTATTGTTATTCGTAGCTACTTCGTATCATTACTATGATTCGTAGATTCTCTTCCTCGTCTTCTATGCATCCTACGCGCTCCAAGTTGCTGCGCCCCCGTCAGCCGAGAAGCTGCCCTCTCCAGGGCCTCTGGGGCAACGTTAGGGGGATGCGGCCGGGAGCTTTTGGATCCCAGACCTGCTCGCGTCGTGCAGAGAAAATCTGGACGCAGGCCTTACATGGTTCTCGGCCTCTGGGGGCCCTCGCCGGGCCCTGGGACCGTCAAGAAGCTATTCGGGACGAAAAGGCGGTCCTCCTCCTCCTCCTCCTCCTCCTCCTCCTCCTCCTCCTCCTCCTCCTCCTCCTCCTCCTCCCTCCTCCTCCTCCTCCTCCTCCTCCTCCTCCTCTCCTCCTCCTCCTCCTCCTCCTCCTCCTCCTCCTCCTCCTCCTCCTCCTCCTCCTCCCCCGTAGTCTGGCTCAAGACGGAGCTTACCTCCCGTCCCGACTCCAGAGGCTCGAGGCCGAGGTGGAAGGGCAGCCCCTTCCCCAGGCCTGGCTGCCTCGGCCAGCACGGGCGCCCCGCAGAAACGCCCCCTCTGCCTCCTAGGCCGCTGCCGCCATCGCCGAGGCGTTCAGATCCTGCTGCTGGCCGCCGTTTTGCTGTGTGCGGCGCAGCCATGGCGCCAGGCGACTCAGCGCGTCGCCCCTCGCGCCCGAGAGGATCGGCCAAGACTCCGAGGTGCTACATGGTCTGTTCAACGCCATTAGGTGGGGGATGGTCCTGGACAGACTTGGGACACCGTCATTGTGGTAAATGCGGGAAGACCTTCACGGAGTCGGCCAACAGCACGAACAAGCAGACCGCCCAGCCCCCCAAGCCGCCCCGCTCCAGCTCGCGTGGCAACCGGTGGGCTCGTCGAGTCCAGTTTGACGACGATGCAGCAGTTCAGCAGCTAGAGTGTGACACCACCGACCCCATCCAGGTCTGTGTGGCCGCCGTCAATTTCTGGCGCAAGATCGAAGGAGTTGGAGGACAACGTTACCTCCAAGCAGCTGAAGAACTCAAAGCAGCCAAGTCGCCCGACCAGCAGACGCAGAGTTTGTCGGACCAGCTCTCAGTGCAGCGCAAGCGCCTGGAGGGCAAGCAGAAGGACGTGGCCTGGTACCTCGAAGCTCACCGAGAAGTACCAGATGGTCGCGAATGAGTGCAACGACATCTACAAGGAATGCCAGCAGCTCGAGAGCCAGCTCAGGGTCGCAGCGAAGGCAGCGGCCCAACAGGCTGGAGGTGCAGATGGTGCAGCACATGGGGCATCATCAGACACGCTCGAGGATTATATCATGGCGAAGCTCCCGCCTGGCGCGGAGATCAGCCCCGACTTCAAGCAGAAGGTCAACGCCATGGCCACGGAGCTCGACGCCGAGTACAATCGGATGGCCCAGGCGTCGGCACAGCCAGCAGCTGACGAGCAACCGCGGGAAGGACAAGCACCACCAGCACCAGCAGCTGAACCAGCAGCTGGTCACCAACCAGCCCCTGAAGGCGCAGCCGCAGTCGCAGCTCCCAGCGGAGAGGGCATCCCTGCAGGCTCCGCCGCCGACGACATGGAGCTCTCCGACGCGAAGGAGAAGGAGGAAGGGGCCTCCAAACGGGCTGTCCAGGCACTCTCGGTGGTCTCGCAGATCGGGACTCATGGGGCCCTGGGGCCATCTTCTGAGGACGCCCAGAGGAGGCTCCGCTCCAGGATCGAGGGCTCGGTGGCTGCCCGCATGTCTGGGGGGGTAACCTCCGCATCATGAGTTTCAATGGAAGCTGTTGGGGAAGCGTCAAGACTTTCGTCGAGTCCGATGACGCCAAGTCCATCCACGTTCCGTGTGTTCAGGAGGCCAGACTTCTCGAACATCAAGTTTTGGACGCCACTCAGTGGTGTAGCAAGCGTGGATGGAACGCTAGATTTACGGCTGGGGTTCTGAGCGATTGTGGGGCAGCTACGCAGGGCGCAGTCATCTTCGTGAGAGACGGGCACGACTTCGGGGTCACAGGAGTCGACTACATTGCTAACACGCCAAAGGGAAGAGTTACCGCCGTAGCTCTGGAGGTGCCAGGACACGCTCCATTCATTCTAGCCTCAGCCTACCTTGCCGACAAGGTTGGGCTGAACGAGTTCAACCTACAACCTCCTCGCCAGCCTCGCGCAGCTTGGCCAGATGCATCGCGTGTGCCTGATTGTAGCGGCTGGCTTTAACCTCTCGCCTGCCGAGCTCACCAAGAGCAACTTCTGCCCGAGAGCAGGAGTGCAGGCCCTCTCTTCAGACATCCCCACGCTCTAAACAAAAAAAGGCCAAGAGCTTGCTAGATGTCTTCCTCGTCTCCGATTGTTTCCAGGACTACGTGAATAAGCCCAAGGTCCTCAAGGAGTACCCCCTGAGCCCCCACAGGCCCGTGTACTTCGACCTCGCCATAGATGAGCCCTTCCTGGTGCCCGTCCTGGCAAAGCCTCAGCAGATCCCAACGAGGTTGCCTGTGGGACCCATTGCGCAAACATCTCCATGGACCCGAACCGAAGCGGCCCTGGACCTAATGGAAGCCTTCTTGGGACAGAAGTCAGACTACGGGGCCCTGGACGGGGTCCCGGACCAGACCTACGAGATCCTGGCCAGTGACTTAACGAGTTTGTTTGAGGAAGGTCACTGACACGCCTCTTCGCAGCCAGCGCCTACGAGGTCAAGGACCTCAGCTCCGATGGGTTCCTGCATGTGCAGCGGAACGAGCCCACCGTCGCAGCTGGCGCTCTTTTGCAGGCCCTCCCCGCTGGCTGAAGAACAAGATTACTGACGCACGGCGTGCCTTAGACCAAGCGTGCGATCTAGAATATGAGTTTCAAGTTGTCTTGGAGGACCCTGGTTCGGCCCCAGTTGTATTTGGTGAAGTTGACGAGTCAGGGGCCCTTCTTCAATCAGTTCAGACAGCCCTACAGACGGCCCCAGTCGACTTTCGTAGCGACGCTCTAAGTACCGCAATAGCGAAGGAACTGTTCGATAAGCTCTTCGCCGACATCGATAAAGCCTTAGATCGAGAAATGCACCGCGACCGATCGACCGACGGAAAAAAAACTGGGCCGAATGGGTCAAGGCACATATGCAGCACGGAGTGGGATGGGGCCATAGATGGACCAAAGATTTCAGCAGTTGGAAGCCGCAGCAAGTCTGGAAAGCCTCGATCGGAAGGTGGTCAGGAAGGCCGCATGGCTTGCTTAAAGCTGAAGCCGAACGTCTCTCGGACACCTGGGAGACTACCCCAAAAGAGCAGAAACATAAACATCGCAGACCCAGCCCTGGAACCCTAGCCGAGCTGGAGCCCATCACAGTTGACATGATAAGAGCAGCAGCAAAGCGATTCAGCCATAACACGGCCTCCACCTACGGCGGCTTCCATCCCAGGCATTTTGCGGTCTTAGGTGACACCGAGCTCGAGCTCGTGGCCCGCTTCATGCACGCTTTCGAGGCGGTCGGCCTCCTGCCCTCTCAGGCGCGCGCGACCGTCACCATGCCCATCCCAACGCACAAGCAGCAGGAGGGTTCCAAAGACAAGCCCAGCTACCGAGGGATCGGATTGATAAGTTCGATCTGGAGGCTCTGGGCCAAGATAAGGCAGCCAGCAGCTCGACGATGGGAGCTTCAAAACAAGAAGCCTTATCTGGCCCACCAGGGAGGACGAGGAATCTTAGAGACCGCTTTCCTGCAGGCCCTCGAGGCGGAATCGGCCCAGTACGAAGGTGTTTCCAGGTTCACTGCTGCGGTGCTCTGAGACCTCTGAAACTACTACGAACACATCAATCGGGACAAATGGTTTCCCAGGGCGGTCGGCGCAGGTTTCAATCAAGCTGTGGCGGTCTTGATCGCCAACCAGTATGGATCGCCCCGTCTAGTTGCCAACAGGTCGCAAGCAGTCTTCGTTGACAGCCCGCAGTATGGAGTGCCCGCAGGCTGCAGCTTCGCCACTTACGTTATACAGATGGATTGCATTGTGCCGCTCGATGTCTGGGTCCAAGACAACATAGGCACTAGCCTCCACATGTTTATAGATGGCATCATCTTACAGGCCCAGGATAAGTGCCCCAAGACCGTGACCAAGACCCTTGCATGAGCCTCAAAGAGTACGAAGGACACCATAGAGGAGGACCTAGATAGCAACATTGCCCTCCACAAGTCAGCCGTCCTAGCCTCCTCCTTAAAGGTTCGGGGGCCCCTGGTCAAGGCCCTCGGCTCACTAGCAGGACCCCAGGCTTTGGAGCGAGTCGACGCCGCCGCCAATCTCGGCATAGACTACACGGCTGGAGGTCGCGTCCGCAGCGGCCGCGGCCGCGCTGTTCTGCGCCTCCGTTTCAAGAAGACGAAGCACCGCAGGTGCAGGCTCCAGGCTATCAAACAGGCCGGGGCTGACATGCGAAAGTTGTACAAATCAGGCCTTGACCAGGCCAACCATTACGGAGGCGAAGTGGTAGGCCTGACCGATTCAGAACTCGTTCAGAACCAGAACTTCTACCTCAGCGCCGTTGGCCCCAGAGGCCCAACGAGATCCCGAGTCCTGAGCCTGTGCCTGCTGGGAGACCCTTCCTGGAAGGCCGCCTTGGGGCCCATCATCTACTACAGTCTTCTGACATGGAGGATCTCGGCCCAACCAGGCTTGCGAAAGTACGATCACGGTGATTTGAAACAGAAGGTGAGCCGAATCTTGGACAACCCTCCCAAAAGCTGGAGCGCCTGCCGAGGGCCCATGGGGGCCGCCCTGCTGAGCCTCAAGAGGATAGGTTGGGAGCTCCTCAACCCGTTCGAGATAGAGACGAGCCAAGGCCTAATCCCCCAGCTCACTGCGACCCCGCCAGCCCTCCTCAAGTACCACCTGGAGGACGCCTGGAAGGCGCAGCTCGAGTTTAAAGCAGCAGCCAAAATGGGACATCCTCAGGACCGTCTGGGTTGCTCGGCCGCAAAAGCTGTTCTGGACGACCCGAACCTCACCAAGCCCCAGAGGGGCTGCCTCCTGGCCTACCTCACCCAATGTATCTGGACAAGGTCCCGCTTGGCTGCAGCAGGTTACGAGATCGACCAGGAATGCGACTGCGGACACCCGACAGATGCCATGCAGCACCGTTTCAACTGCCAGCTCGTCGATGACATCAGAAGTGACATCTTAGAGGCCCCCGATCTAGAATATCTTCGAGGGTACCCCAGTGAAGCTCCACTAGCCCATAGTTTTCAATACCTTCCCGACCCCGTGGTTATAAGGCCCTCGGGGGTCGGCTTTGTTTTCGAATTCTGGTCCAAAAATGGAGACCCGCTAATAGAAGCCATGTCTGGCGAGGCCTTTGTCGACGGATCCTGCTATAAGCAAGGTCCTACCGTTCGGCACCAAACGGGCTGGCCGGTAGCTGTGATGGACGAAGCTGGCGACTGCAAGGCTCACCTGTCTGGACAGACAGGAGCCGCTCTGCCGCCCGCATCAGGAGCAGCTGAGCATCTTGCCCCTGCCATCAGCCACGTGTACCCTAACATCGCCCATGTCCACTCGGACCACTTCGGAGCCATTAGGAAGCACAGTCAAGCAGGCTTTGATAGAAGGAATATGTGCTCAGGGCTGGAGCTTGTTGCCAAAGGTAAACACACTGGTGGTGCCCTCCCCCAAGCTTGTAAAGTAAAAGCGCACCAGGATTTAGACAGCCCCCCAGAAGGCCCCCGTGAAAAGTTTCTGGCCCTCGGGAACGACGCTGCCGACAGGCTCGCCAAAGCGGCCGCGAAGAAGCTCGGGGGCCCTTCGGAAGCCGAAATAAATCAATACCAGGCCGATCAGGCCTTCATCAAGCGTTTCCTGCGTTTCGTCTCACAAGCCATGCTCACCAGGCCCGCCATAGCGCCGAAGCCAGGGGGAAAAGCATGCGGGAAACCTGTTTCCAAGCCAGCTGTAAAGCCCCTTGTGGGTGCTGCCCTAATCGCCCCTGCTCCGCCTCCGCCGCCCCCTCCCCCCGAGGGTCCTGGGGCCGCTGCTGGAGCCTCCCGTGGTCTGAGAGAACCAGGGCAGTACCACAAGTGGGTCTGGCTAAGAGGTAGATGGATGTGCGAGTTGTGTCGTACGCGAGCTTTAACAGTAGAAGCCAAGACCCGTCGCCAGCACGAGAGGTGCCCAGGCACCTGCCCGAGCCTCTCTCACTGTTCCCTCAACCGTAATGGCCATAATATATATATATATATATATATATATATATATATGTGTTTTCGACCGCCTCGAGAATGAGAGCTGTGTTATGGCCTGCTGGAACTGTGGACTCTATTCTGAATGCATGGCCAGAGGTTTCCAGAAAGAGTGCCTCGAAGAGCCCCAATCTAATAACAAGAAAACGGCCATACGCTGTTTCAGGTCGTGCAGACATCCCAAGGATGGCATGCAGGGCCCCATCGTCTTTGCTGCTCCCATTCCTCTTGACATGATGACTCGAGAGGCGCAACGGTCGTTGGGAATTTCAAGCAGCAGCAGCGGCAGCTAACCGCCCAGACAAGAACCCATTCAGTCAGATGCGCTGGTCCTCCTCCTCC